AATAAAACTAAAATACTAAAAAAATCCAAAAAAAAACCTTGTGATCAAAAAAATTTATAAAATCAATGTGATCAAAATGCATAATATAACATCCAGTGCATAACATATGCCAAAAAAAAGTCTCTCATTATATTGGAGTGACTACTCCCAGTGATTAAGGTGAAATAATAAAATCCAGTGAATTCTTTAACAGTGATGATAACTCCCAGTGACTTCCTTAATGTGATATAAGATGTACGCTCACCTCCTTGATAGCCTATAATAGGCTTACTGCGCTTTCGTTCTCTTAAGGAACTTTTATAAAGATGTGTATTGCATCATATGAGGTGTGGTGGATACCCCTCGGCTGGCTCCCTGTCTCTTATCCCTACTGGGATCTCTCTCTCCTGCAGCTCCTCCCTTGTAATCCTCCTTTGGACATATCCTCAGTAGGGGAGAAGTGCAAATAATAGTGCCTTATCCTTTTTATATGTAAAACTCTTTATTCAGTGCCCATATGCACTTACATTGAGTATATACATAAAAACCGCTTTTGCAGAAACAATAGACCGCCTTCAACAAGCCGAACACAGCATGTATTGTGTGTACTTGCCGTCCACAAATGGTTCATGACGTCGTAGCCCTTCCCCTACGTGTTACGCCGCCGGTCACACGGCTTCATCAGGGGGTTAGGATTGGACTTTTAGAGCATTAAACTCACATAGTGCAGTGCCGTCAAGTGAATAGGCTGCCCTATGTGGCACATAGAATCACATGAAAATTGCAGTGTCAAAATCACGTCATCACATAGCGGGAACAAGTGTTCCCCCTAAGTGAACGGGGCCTAAGACTTGGCACAAATTTTTTGTTCCAATGAGCCTGGAATGTATTTAGCTGATTTAAACTGAAATTTGAATTTGGGCTTTAATGCTGTGAGATTCAGTGCTTCATTCTATGCATTGGATGCTGGGGCTGGCTAATAGGAGAGCTCAGCACTAGATAATGACTGCTCCTCCTGACTGAAGGTTGAGCTGAGACTCTGAAGTGATTGTCCCTCAGTCATTCAACTGTGTGCGTAACTTTAAAGTATATGTAAACCCTCAACTCGTAACAATCCATTCAGTTTCAAATAGAAATGAAAGGCAAAACACATGTATATAGATTAAAAAAAAGATTTTAGAAATACCTTTATTTTCCCTTTTTTTTAGTGATCACTTTCCCTCTGTTCTCAGCTTCATAAGAGCTGGGGGGGGAGCAGAAACAGCAGTACCTTGATCTTCCCAGTGAAAGGCTGTGTGTCTGTCTGATCATTTGAGGAGAGCACAACTGACAATGTTGTGCTCATATGTCTAGTGTGGTCAGTTTTTAATAGGAAAGCAGGGAGACTGGCAGGAACACCAGGGATTTTACGGAAAGGAAGCCATGCAAAGAGAACCAGATACTTTTTTTATGCAAGTACACAGTACAGCAGACATATCAGAAATATGAAATGTTGGGTTTACATATTCTTCAAGATACTGCACGCATTCTACATTTACATCAGTCCCTGACCTCAAGAAGCTTACATTCTAAGGTCCCTGACTCAAATTCATACATATACATACTAGAGCCAATTTAGACAGGAGCCAATTAATGCACTAGCATGTCTTTGGAATGTAGGAGGAAACCTGAGTATCTGGAGGAAACCCACTCAGGAACAGGGAGAACATGCAAACTCCAGGCAGGTAGTGCCGAGGATGGGATTCAAACCAATAACCCTAGTGCTGCCAGGCAGAAGTGCTAAACACTTATCCACTGTGTTGCCCATTTATTACATTTTAATCATTGGACCCTGCAGAGCATTGTTACAGAGATCGGTGCAGGTGTTATACACAGTCTCCTATAGACTTTCTCCCAACCCAGGCCCATTATGTGGCTGGAGGATGTAGTCAATGGACTACAAGTGAAGTGATGTCACTACAATTATGCTCTATTGAAATCTACTAGAGTCTCTCCCAAGGTGGCTGATGGAGCTTGTAGTCTTTCCATCCACAGATCTCTGTGGCTGTGTGGGCGGAGCCATGCTGTTCCGAATTTAAAACAAAACAGAATCCCACGGGAAGAAGAACTCCATGATGTGGCCATGTTACCCTAAATATGGGTATAGCTTGAAATATGGTCGGAAATGTAAACTGAGCCTTTAATCTTGCCCACAATACATGGATATATAATATATGTACACTCAACGGCCTCTTTATTAGGTACACCTGTTCAATTGCTTGGTAACACAAATTGCTAATCAGTCAATCACGTGACAGCAACTCAATGCATTTAGGCATCAAGACGTGGTGAAGACGGCTTGCTGAAATTCAAACCGGAAAGGGGATTTAAGTGCCTTTGAACGTGGCATGGTTGTTGGTGCCAGACGGGCTGGTCTGAGTATTTCCAAAACTGCCGATCTACTGCAATTTTTAGGCACAACCATCTCTAGGGTTTATAGAGAATGGTCCGAAAAAAAGAAAATATTCAGTGAGCTGCAGTTGTGTGGACAAAAATGCCTTGTTGATGTCAGAGGAGAATGGGCAGACTGGTTCAAGATAATAGAAAGGCAACAGTAACTCAAATAGCAACTCATTACAGTCAAGGTAAGCTGAAAGCACAACACATCAAACCTTGAAGCAGATGGGCTACATCAGCAGAAGACCACACCGGGTGCCACTCCTGCCAGCTAAGAACAGGGAACAGAGGGTACAATTCGCACAGGCTCACCAAAATTGGACAATAGAAGATTGGAAAAATGTTGCCTGGTCTGATGAGTCTCAATTTCCTTAGAGATGGTTGTGCGGGAAAATCCCAGTAGATCAACAGTTTTTGAAACACTCAGACCAGCCCATCTGTCACCAACAACCATGCCACGTTCAAAGTCAAACTGATTTTAAAGGCTCATTTTTTATTTTATTTTTTCATTTTTTTTTAAATAACAAACATGTCTATACTTGCCTGCTATGTGTAGTGGTTTTGCACAGAGCAGCCCGGATCCTCCTCTTCTCAGGTCTCCCACAGACTCTCCTGGCCCCTCTGTCCTGTCGGCTGCCCCCACAGCAAGCAACTTGCTATGGAGGCACCCGCTGCTCTGTGTGTCCATTCACACACGGAGCTGCTGCTTGGCCATGCCCCATCTCTCTTCTCATTAAATCATTGGCTGCGATTGAAAGCAGTGGGAGCCAATGGCTCCCGCTTCTGTCTCAGCCAATGAGGAGAGGGAGTGCCGGGATAGCCGAGACTCCAGTGCACATCGCTGGATTGAGAGGGGGCTTAGGTGAATATTGGGGGTGTGGGGGCTGCTGCACACAGGTTTTTGAGCCTTTAGAACCACTTTAAATCTCCATTCTTACCCATTCTAATGCTCAGTTTGAACTTCAGAAAGTCCTCTATAACCACGTCTAGATGCCTAAATGCATTGAGTTGCTGCCATGTGATTGGCTGGTTAGCAATTTGTTTTCCTGAACAATTGAAAAGGTGTAAATAGTGGTAAAAGTGAGCGCTGACCAAGAAGAAAGCAGCTGTGCACTCTAAGCAACCAATGTACACTTATCAACAGAATAATAGAACAGTGCAGCGCTTGAGGGAAATAAGAACAGATAAAATAAACAAATGAAAATACTGATAAAAAGTCTATATCGTAATAATCATGCCAGGTGACTGGTAGCAATCAATGGTGGTGCTCCGTGAAGAATAGCAGAAATGCGCACTCACCAGAAAGTAAATAAATATGAGCGGTGTATATCATATCCCGAGAATCCCCATCAGAGAAAGGTCTGGTCAGAATGGGTGAATCCTCCCTCCAGGTTGCATTCAGAACTCGCCCAAAAGTAAAATAGAACAGATCCAGGTGACAAGAGGTCTCCTAATGCAGGATGGATGGAAGTGGTTGCCTGTTTATAGGAGGTCTTCCTCCTTCTTGGTATGGTGCCTAGGATCTTGATAACGGGCTCTGCAAATAAAACTCCTCTCAAGGAGTCAGGGAAAGACGCCCATAGTGTAGTATGATAGAAAATAGCTTTATTATAAACAGAGTAACGGTTTGCAAACATATGTCATCCAGGTAAGTAGAGTAAACTAACCCTAGGGGATTCAAAGAGTGCCGTCGGGCCTCCACGTGGCTCCGGCGGCGTAGCGTCACGACGTCAGGGCTCCTCCTTGCGCGTTACGTGCGCACGCACATCATCAGAGGAATTAGGAACAGGTGTACGTAATAAAGTAGCCGGTGAGTGTATATGGATATCATAATGTATGGAAAATCACCAGATAGTCCTTTTAAAGTACAACTTCTCATTTTCCTGGTTAGAGGGCCAGGAGAATTGGCTGTGTTTTTTTTTTTTTTTTTTTTTTTTTGGGGGGGGTTTTTTTTTTGCTGTTGAAATGTGTTTCTCTTGGAAAAATACTTTGTTCCAAATTATAGCCTGATGTCCCTCCAGAACAGCATGACATATACTTGCTGTATATCTTCTATTTATGCCATGCTGAGAGTTGGCTGCTTCTATGAGGTTCCGCTACTCCACAAAGTTCTGTGCATTTTCAGGGCATGTGGGCGAAGAAAGTCGGGAAGTGTTTGTTTTTCTCTACTGTTCCGCTTTGTCTTTAATCCCAGACCATCTGTTTTAGAGACCGAAGCTTCTGGGGACATTAGTTAATCCTGACACAGACCTCACCCTTAAGAACGCAGCACCAGCCTACAGAATACGAGTATAAAATGTCCAAAAATAACAACAGGAATGCTAGATAACATACTTAGTAGTCTGTGGATCTATAAGCAGCATTACTGTGAAAAGTAGCCTGCAGGGAGAGCTGTAACTAGCTCAGAGGCATGAAAGATCCTCGCGGTGTGTTGAATTCTGTAAAAATGGCCTGTATATGTATGTGTGTGTGTGTGTGTGTGTGTGTGTGTGTGTGTGTGTTGCTTAGGCAACGGTATCAGCAAGATGTGCACATATGTTCATCTGCACTAGATAACCCATTTAATAGTATTAATTTTTGTTCTTTCAGCTAAATCAAGCCGGAAATTGACGTTCTTGTATTTGGCCAATGATGTGATACAGAACAGCAAGCGCAAAGGCCCTGAATTCACCCGTGAATTTGAGAAAGTGTTGCTGGATGCATTTTCTCATGTTTCCAGGTAAAGATCTTGTATATGGGCAGTTTGGAATTTGGTGTACATGTTAAGACTTCCTTGACTAAAATCCCATAAGTTTCTGATCACCCAGACCGCTAAATTATGGCCCATGCAGAGCAGTACATATTCCCGCTTCCTTTCTTCTGTTCAGCTTCCCTAAAGTGGGGAGGAGGAACCCCTGTGTAAGCTCTGAGTCACTCCAGTTGGAGCTTAACCCCGTGACGCCGATTGCACGCCAATATGTGGCCTCTCGGCGTCTGGGCATTGACGCCAAGCGGCCGCATATTTGCGTGCAATTAGAAATTACATATGTGCTGAGAGCTTGCGCCCTGCGCGCTCCCAGCACATACAGTTGCAAGAAAAAGTATGTGAACCCCTTGGGATTACATGGAGTTTTGCATGAATTGGGCATAAAATGTGCTCTGAACGTCATCTAAGTCACAACAATAGAAGAACACAGTCTGCTGAACATAATACTACACAAACATTAGATGTTGCCATGGTTTAATTGCACATAACATATAAACATTCACAGTGCAGGGATGAAAAAGTATGTGAGGCCCTAGCTTAATGACTTCTCCCACAGCTAATTGGAGCTAGGAGTGAGCCAACCTTGACTCCAATCAGTATGATGATATTGGATGTGTTGCTGACAGCTGTCCTGCCCTTAAAAAACACACGCCTGTTTTGGGTTTACTGGTTTCAAGAAGCACTGTCTGATGTGAACCATGCCTCGCAGAAAAGAGCTCTCAGAAGACCTACGATCAAGAATTGTTGACTTGCATGAAGCTGGAAAGGGTTACAAAAGTATCTCCAAAAGCCTTGATGTTCATGTGTCCACGGTAAGACAGACTGTCTACAAATGGAGAAAGTTTAGCACTGTTGCTACTCTCCCTAGGCGAGGTCGTCCTGTAAAAATGACTGCAAGAGCACAGCGCAGAATGCTGCATGAGGTAAAGAAGAATCCCAGAGTGTCAGCTAAAGACCTACAGTAAATCTCTGGCACATGCTAACATTTTTGTTGACACATCTACAATAAGGAAAACATTAAACAAGAATGGAGTACATGGGAGGACACCACGGAGGAAGCCATTGCTGTCCAAAAAGAATATTGCAGCACATTTGAAGTTTGCAAAAGAGCACCTGGATGTTCCACAGCACTACTGGCAAAATATACTGTGGACAGATGAAACCAAGATTGAGTTGTTTGGGAAGAACACACAACACTATGTGTGGAGAAAAAAAGGCACAGCACACCAACATCAAAACCTCATCCCCCCCTGTAAAACATGGCGGAGGGAGCATCATGGTTTGGGGCTGCTTTGTTGCCTCAGGGCCTGGATGGATTGTTGTCATTGATGGGAAAATGAATTCCAGAGTTTATCAAGACATTTTGCAGGAAAACGTACGACCATCTGTCCGCCAACTGAAGCTCCACAGAGGATGGGTGATGCAACAGGACAATGACCCAAAGCATACAAGTAATTCAACAAAACAATGGCTGCAACAGCACAGAATACGCCTTCTGGAGTGGCCCAGTCAGAGTCCTGACCTCAACCCGATTGAAATGCTGTGGCATGACCTTAAGAGAGCGATTCACACCAGACATCCCAAGAATATTGCTACACTGAAACAGTTTTTGTGAAGAGGAGTGGTCCAAAATTACTCCAGATCGTTGTGCAGGTCTGATCTGCAACTACAGGAAACGTTTGGTTGAGGTTATTGCTGCCAAAGGAGGGTCAACCAGTTATTAAGTCCAAAGGTTCACATACTTTTTCCTCCCTGCACTGTGAATGTTTACATGTTATGTGCAATTAAACCATGGCAACATCTAATGTTTTTGTGTAGTATTATGTTCAGCAGACTGTGTTCTATTGTTGTGACTTAGATGACGTTTAGAGCACATTTTATGCCCAATTCATGCAAAACTCCACGTAATCCCAAGGGGTTCACATACTTTTTCTTGCAACTGTATGTCCGCGACTCCCGGAAAGGTCCCGATCTCCCCTTTCAATCGGGACCTTTCCGATCATGTGACCGCAGTGACATTGAATCATGGCGGTCACATTACCCTAAAACCCCACCCCACCTCCCGGATTCTGAAACTCTTAAAGGGCCGGGAGGCACCGGCGTCAAGAGGTTAAACAGGATTGAGAATTTTCTTCCCACTTGCCTGTGACTGTGAGTTGGGCCAAGCACCAGCGCTGATGCATGGTTATGAAGGTATCAGGTAATTTCTTTGTTCCTGGTGAGTTTAAGTGGTGGGAGAGCCAAAGAAAGTGAGCAACTTTAAATTAACCTGTTGCTTTGTTCTGCATGTACAATGCCATAAATCTGATCTCCTGGCAGATCTTAAAGTGGTTGTAAATGTATTTTAAAAAAATCAACCAGTACTTACCATAATTCGGATGCGCAGAGTGCCCCCAAACCTCCTCTTCTTGGGTCCCCTGCTGGCGTTCCTGGCTCCTCTCTGTCCAGTGCCCCCATAGGAAGCTGCTTCCTATGGAGGTACTTGTGTGGACTTGCTCCTGAGCCCCTCTGTCTGCATCCATTGAGACAGATGGCAGGATTTAGCCCCACCCATGCTCCCTCGTCATTGGCTTTGGTTGACAGCAGCCGGAGCCAGTGGCTCCCAGTGCTCCAGAAAAAACTGTGAGACCTGGACCTGAGGGCAGAGAAGAGCTGCAACCGAGCACAGAGCTGGATCAAATGAGAGTTCAGGGAAGTAAAAGGGGAAGGAAAGGACTGTGTTAAAGTAAAAAATGGCTAGGTTTTATACCCACTTTAAGAAATACCAATCAATGCAACAATGTGTCCATTACAAATCATTAAAGTATCTGTAAAATAAAGGTTGTTTTAGTAGGTAGTTACATCACTGGTCTTCTAAGAACTATACAATGCAGATTTTTGAAGTAGTTTCAAAGGCTAAAGGTTTTTTATTTTCATGCATTCTCTGAAGGTAAAAATTCCTTTTTCCTCCTTCTCTCATCCTCCCCTCCCATGCTTGGAGTGTCTTTTGCGGGGAAGTGGGTACCTGATTTTGACAGGTACCCGCTCCCACATTTGCTCCAGCCTCCTACGCGAATGGAGCGGAAGTTCAACCCCCCCTCCAGCCTCTTGGGACAAGTCAGAAGTTTGAGGAGACTGCAGGACCGATCAGGAGTGCAGCACAACTCACGCACGCGCAGTGGGCAGCCAGCTGTGAAGCCACTAGGAGTCAGTCAGTTGCCCACAGTTAAGGGAAGACAGGATGAAGAGCTGGGTCGGGTGAGAACACCCCTGGATCCTGAAACAAGTGTGTCCCAGCTACAAATACTGCTCACTTTAAAATTTTTTGTTTACAGAGTGAAGATCCTTTTTTTTAAACACCTTTTTTTGTTTGTTTTTAGTTTTTTGTTTTAAGACCACAAAGGTGAACACAACTGAACTGATCCTAAAGCCCCTCATAGAAGGTGTCCTATATAAAGAATGTCAAACAGCTTTGTAACAGAAGTGGTCCCAGCTCAGATTCTCACTTTACTTCTGTAATGTTTTCCTTTGCCTCCCTACCTTGATCGCAGGATCTTCTTGCTTGTTGCAATATTTTAATTGACACCTCGTAGAATGTTACTGACGTTCCATGTTTCGGAGACATGCAGGAGGTGGGCAGTGGTTTCTCTTAGTCCTGGTTCACACTAATGTGGTGCAGCACATCGCATGTGATTCGCACAGGAACCACGCCACATTCCTGTGCAAATCACATGCGATGCTTTGTGGTGCCATTTGAGCCATACATTTTGTATGGCTCAGACTGCATTGCATCCGTACCAAAAAGGTGCAGGACCCTTTTTTTTTCCTGCGCCTGATTCGCATTGCATGAGTATTCACACACATGCAATGCGAATTCCAGTAATTGCACTACGTTTTGCGATCTGTTTCGGGGTGCCGTTAATTTAATATTGACACCCGTACCAGATCACATGGATGCCATGCGAGTGCGGTGCGGGAAATGCACAGGATTCACTGTGTTTCCTGCACCGCTATGTGTGAACCAGGGCTTAGTGGTAGAATCGGGCACAGAAGGACAACGACCATGGAGCTAGTATGAGGTCTCCAGTCATCCTATGTGATCTGATGGTGTTGCTGTTTTATGTTGTGATAGCATGACTCCCAGCTGGAGCCAATTTTAGTCATGCTAAGCAGGGCTGTATACAGAAGGACATCTCTGACTGCAGAGCTACAAGGCTGTTGTTCCCAGTCCTGATAAGCAGTGTGCATGTCTGTCAACAATACCATGGGGTTTGCAGGGGTGGTTAGTGTTGAGACAGAAAGAGAGGATTGTGGGGAAAACTGGAAAAACAAGGTATTTTGTATTTATTGATGTACCGTATTTTCCGGCGTATAAGATGACTTTTTACCCCTTGAAAATCTTCTCAAAAGTCGGGGGTTGTCTTATACGCCGGTATACTGACACTTTCTAGGGGGGCGGCGCGGTACTGCCGCCGCCCCCCCCCCCCCTCTTCCAAGGGACACTAAGTACAGGGCTGGGCAGGGGCTGCTGTCTCTTACCTGGCTCCGGTCCCACAACGATCCGGTCCAGGAAGCGCGGCTGCTCCTTCATTCGGTTCGGCCACTGAATGTTTGCGTGGCTGCTCGGCTCCGCCTCCTCACCGGTGATTGGCCGCCAGAACTGTAGCTCAGGAAAGGCACACAGGCGGCCAATCACCGGCGAGGAGACTGAGCCGAGCGGCCCCGCGAAAATCGAGTGCAGGAGCGGCCAGTAAGTGTGCAGTCCAGAGGTGCTGCTGCAACCACATATGCTGGCTGCAGCAGCACCATACTGGAACAGGGGCCAGCAAGTGTCATTGGTAGGAATAGTGCCCCATCATTGGTGTCACTGATACCAATGATGGGGCACTATTCCTCCCACTGACACCAACGATGGGGCACTTTTCCTCCCCCCCCCCACTGACACCAACGATGAGGCACTATTCCCCCCCCCCCCACACTGACGCCAACGATGG